TCTAGTGTTTCATGTGTCCATGCTTTGTAAGTATCATGACGATCCATCCCGCATATTAGATTTCAACACTGTTCAACTAGACAAGGATTTAACCTATGAGGAGGAGCCGGCAGCCATTTTAGACAGGCAGGTTTGTAAATTGAGATCGAAGAGTTATCCTTCGGTTCCTGTGCAGTGGAAAGGTCAGCCTGTTAAGGCAGCTACTTGGGAGTCCGAGTCTGATATGCAGAACAGATATCCCCATCTTTTCTCTAGCTCAGGTACTTTTCTATGTCTGTTCGAGGACGAACAGTTGTTTTAGAGGTGGAGAATGTGATAACCCAAAAGGTCATCTCGTGTTTTAGAACCCAATTCGGGGTTTCGAGGCCTTCAAGACCTCATTATATTTCTCCTCGATTTGCATGCACAGTTTGGGCACGTTTTCGGAAAGACTTTATGTGAAAATTTGAGAAAATATTAAGTTTTGCCTTTAAAATCGATTTAAGTTGACTTCGATCATCATTTTGAGTAAACGAACCTGGACCCGTATTTTGACGGTCTCGGAGGGTCCGTAGAAAAATATGGGACTTGAGCGTATGCCCGGAACTGAATTCCGAGGTCCCTAGCTCGAGAAATGAATTTTTGAAGAAAATTGTTAAACTGAAAATATAGTGGTTTTTAAAAATTGAATAATGTTTGATCTTGTTGGTATCGGGCCTGTATTTTGGTTTCGGAGCACGGTACAGGTTTAATATGGTATTTAAGTCATGTCCGTGAAATTGGTGAGAAACAGAGTTTATATGACGTGATTCGGACCCTCCTCGGTTGTGAAAATAGAAACTTAAAGTGTTCTTGAGAATTCCATTGATTTTGATGCTAAATCTGTAGTTTTAGGTGTTATTTTAGCGATTTGATCACACGAGCAAGTCCGTATGATGTTTTAAGACTTGTGTGCATATTTGGTTTGGAGCCCCGGGGGCTCGGGTGAGTTTTGGATAGGCAGAGAAGTTTTAAACCTAGAAGAACCTGTTGTATTGCTATTTCTGGTATGCCGGTACTTTGTGCTTCGTGTTCGCGAAGCAACTCTCGCGAACACTAAGTGCAACCTGGACTGGGGAGGAAATTGTTCTTTGTGAACGCGAAGCCATGATCGTGAATGTGGAGCACTAGGGGGTTGTTCTTCGCGAACGCCGAACTCGTAGAGTAAAAAGGAGGTGGGTTAGGAATCTCTGAGTTGTTCTTTGCAAACGCGGTCCAAGGCCCGCGAACGCGATGGTCGAGGGGGAAAGATCATCGCGAACGTGAAGGTCTTTCTGGCCGCAATGCTTCGCGAAAGCGATAGGCCCTTCGCGAACGCGAAGAAGGCCTGTCCATTGTTTTAAAAACAGAATCAAAAACGAGAATTGGTCATTCTTTCATATTTTCAAAACCAAGGAAGCTTAGAAGCGATTTTCAAGAGACAAGTTATTCCCCAAAGTGTTGGTATATGATTCTAAACCACTTTCTTTCAATTACCCATTGTATTTCATCAACTTTCATCCAAAAATTTTGTTCTTTAAAGGTAGAAATTAGGGATTTTAGGAGAATTGGGGAGTTTACAAATTTGGGAATTTAGACCTCGATTTGGGGTCGGATTCCGAAATTAATTACATATTTGGGCTCGTGGGTGAATGGGTGAATGAGTTTTGGTCCGAACCTCGAGTTTTGACCAAGCGGGCCCGGGGTTGATTTTTGATTTTTTAGGGAAAAGTTTGGGAAAACTAAATTTGTGCATTGTAGTTGATTCCCTTAGCAATAATTGTTGATATTGAATTAATTGTGGCTAGATATGAGTGGATTTGAGGTGGAATCTAAAGGAAAAGCGGTATTTGAGGCTTGAGTTTGGCCGTGGAATCGAGATAAGTGTCGTGGCTGACCTTAGCTTGAGGGATTAGGTGTTGTTTCCTTATTTGCTATGTGTTTAGTTGTTGAGTACGACGTACAGGTGACGTGACGAGTTGAGATTTATATTGTGAAGTTAAATGTTGAAACGAGGTTGGTTATTGTTGATTCCCTTGCCAGGTTGTTATTGTTTCTATTGTTTGGGTGAGGAAGAGTGTAAAGCACGAAGGGTGATGTCGTGCACGATATTGTGAGTTAGTGTTAATGCACGAAGGGTAATGTCGTTCCATATTCTGTGAGTGTTAATGCTCGAAGGGTAATATCGTGCCAGGATTATGAGAGAGTTAATGCACGAAGGATGATGTCGTGCCATTTCTATTGTTTCTTATGGTGAGGGCGAGAGTAAAAGCACGAAGGGTGATACCGTGCACATGTTGCTATGTTATTATTTCCGTTGGTTCAAAGCATGATATTTACTTTGTTTCTTTATTGTATTATTTCTAGAACTTGATATTTCCCCTTAGCATGATTTTTGCCTTTCCCATTATTATCTGTTAAAATTTTGTTATTATTATCTTTCCGTATATGATTTAATTGCACAAGTTTATATTATTGTCGTGTCCTAGCCTCATCACTACTTTATCGAGGTTAGGCTCGTCACTTACCAGTACATGGGGTCGGTTGTACTGATACTGCACTCTACACTTTCTGTGCAGATTTCGGTGTTGGACCTCGTGAGTAGAGTTCGGTTGCTGCCTTCAGTCTATCAGGAGACCCAAGGTAGATCTGCCGGCGTTCGCAGACCCTGGAGTCCCCTTCCCTCTATCTTAGTTTTCCTGTATCTTTTCATTTCGAGAACAGATGTATTTCTTTTAAACCAGTATTTGTAGAAAATTCGAAGTTCATGGATTGTGACACCAGATCTTTTGGGTAGTCGTGTATTAAAGTTTTAAACTGTTATAAAAAAATTTTGCACTTTATATTTGTTTTGTTTTAATTATTGTTAATCATTGTTATGGATAATGTTTAATATATTAGACCTGTATCTATTGGCTTGCCTAGAATTCTAAGAGTTAGGCGTCATCACGATCCCAATGGAGGGAAATTTGGGTTGTGATAGAGGAGGAGGAAATTGGAGTCTGTCAAAGAGATACAAATCAAATTGAACAAAGCAACAATCGGATGAAGACAAGAAGAAAACTAGATAAAAAATAAATCTTTTACAGAATTGACGTTGTGATAAGAAGATCTAAACTTCCTAGAAAAATACATTCAACCATGATGATATACATAGATATACACCACCTCAAACACACATATTTTCTTTTTAACAATTAAAAAAGAATAGGGAAGAAGACTAAGAACAAAATTGGAGTCTTCCAAAGAGATACAAATCAAATCGAACAAAGAAACAATCGTATGAAGACAAGAAGATAATTAGATAAAAAACAAATCTTTTTACAGAATTGTTGTTGTGATGATAAGTTCTAAACTTCTTAAAAAATGCATTCCTCAACCATTACAACTTACCAAACATTATCAAAGAACAAATGCCCTTCCAAATCCAGATTGAAGAAGAAAATTTGCTAAATTAAAGAAGAAGAAAAAAAAATTGAAGAAGAAACTGGGAGAAGAAATACGGGGAGAGAGAAGAAAAAATATGGGGAACGAGAATAATAAGAAACTAGGGTTATTTAGGATTTGGCTATTTGATGCCAATTTTTGGGGGTTATCTTTGCCAAACCTAATATAAGGCTAAAATATTTCCAATTTTCTTTATATGTTGTCATTCCAAGTCATTTTTTTCAAATTATTTCCAATTTGGCCTAGTTCACTAGTTTCCCGATTTAGTTATATTCGTTTTTCACACAGTAACCAAGTGCAAAAAAAAATCACCTTTTTCCTTACCATTCCTCTACCACCACATAGTAGTACCATCACATCACTACTACTATTAACACTACCTTATCCTCCAGTCATTAAAACACCATCAGAATCCCACTGAAATCACCAAATTTGAAAGATGACCTTAAAATCTACCATTCTTGAGCTTGAAACTCTTAGATCTAAAAATCGAAATTCGAAAAGTGTTGTAATCCATAGTAAGTGTTCAAAAATCCTGTTGTAATGAACTATATACTAAACCTTGATTTCTTTTGGGTTGATTTGAAGAGTTGCTACTTGAAATTTTGAGTTTATGCATTTGACGAAGACAAACTAGTCTGGTGTATAGTTGCGTATATCTCACTGTATATTTATGTATTTTGCCTGTATATCTTTATATATCTCTCATATAAAATCGTACATCTCCTGCATATCATGTACCTTTATGATATCCATGAAAATGAGTGTAACATAAAATGATTACCCGAAATACACTTGTGATATACAAATGTCGTAACGATGTTTCAATTTTAGCCCTTAATTTTGACTTCAAACCAGTCCAAATCACATCCAATCTTTCTTAAATTTTATATATAGCTTCATTCAAGTACTTCCAACGAATTTCAACCACACCCACTCAAAAAATAACTACTAAATGTGATTGTTAGGATAGTCACATGTAAATATTTTTCAATTGTTTTACATTTCTGATATCCCAATCCATAAACCTCAACATTTGACCCAAACGCCCATCTCATTAAAGGGAGTGAGCTCTTCAAGGTTATGGGTTGCTAGTATTATCATATTCTACAGAGTTTTTGTCAAATTCAGAGATTAACTATGAGCATAGATTGCCATTGATATGACACCTTGAGCTCGAAAGACAAATGAGAGATTGAGTTGTGAAAGAGAAGAAGCTTCTGGACAAATAAAATGAGGAAATGAAGAGTAACTTGTATTCATTTGCTATGTTTCTTTTATATACACATGTGTGATCGGAAAAGAAAATATCTAATTGACTAATGCTAACACCTAATTACAGAAGTACCCCTATGATAGCTACTACTCTCCCTCAAGTTGGAAGTGAGGTACTCACAACCAACTTGCTAAGAATATTAGTGTGCTTAATCCCTGTTAAGGCCTTGGTTAATATGTCTTCCAATTGATCATGTGTGGAAATGTCGTGGAGGCTGATTAGTCCCTCATGTAGCTTATCCCTTATAAAGTGACAATCCACCTCTATATGCTTTGTACGCTCATGAAACACAGGGTTTCTTGCCATATGCACTGCAGGTTGGCTATCACAGAAGACAAAGATAGGATGTGGACAAGGCACTATAAGCTCTTCCAGCAATCTCTTAACTCAGATCAACTCGCCAACTACCTTCCTGATAGACCTATATTCTGCTTCTGCAGAGAACAAGGACAATTTCTCTTGTTTCTTCAATTTCCAACTAATTGGACTATCACCAAGCAAGACAATGTAACCACTCACTGATTACCATGAATCAAGGCATACTTCACAGTTTGAATCATAGAAAGAATTTATTGTACAATCTGAACTATTGGAAAGGAAGATTCTCAATGCTGGATCATTTTTAAGGTACCATAGAACATGTATGGTAGCCCTGAGATGTGGCTCTCTGGGAGCGTACATAAACTGGCTTAAGTGTTGTACACTATAAGCAATATCCAAGCTTGTATTGGTCATGAAGTTAAGTTTCCCAACCAATTTCCTGTAGTGTGTAGGATCAGGCAATAGAGATCCCTCATCGACCTTTAATTTGATGTTGCAATCAAGAGGAGCAGCAATTGTAGTATATTAATTGGCATACTCCTTTAATAGGTCTGTAGTGAAATTCCTTTTTGATATGAGAACCTCGCCATCTTTATAAAATACTTCTAATTCCAAGAAATAGTGCAACTTTCCTAGATCTTTGATCTTGAATTGATCATGTAGAAAGATCTTCAGTGCTTTAATTTCTTCAAGGTCCATGCCTGTAAGTATCACATCATCTACATAGACTGCCACAAAGACAACCGAAGTGCCATCCCTTTTATAGAACAGTGAATAATCATTCACTAAATGTGTGAAACGCCTTATACATAATGACTTACTTAGTTTATCATACCATTGCCTGCTTGCTTGCTTTAGTCCATACAAGGACTTGTTCAACTTGCAAACCACATTCGAGACTTCAACCTCTAGACCCTATGGAACCTCTATGTACACCTCCTCATATAAATATCCATGCAAAAAAATATTATTTACATCCAGTTGGAAAAGCTCTCATCCTCTCGTGACTGCTATGTTGATCAAGGTCCTCACAGTTGTCATATTGACGAGCGAAAAAAATATCTCAGTGTAGTCTATGCTAGCTTGCTGCATGTATCCCTTTACCACAAGCCTTGGTTTGAATCTTTCAATACTTCCATCTGCTTTGTGCTTGATTTTGTACACCCATTTGCACCCTATTACTTTCTTACCTACAGGCAATTGCACTAGATCCCAAGTGTGGTTAGCATATAAAGCCTCAAACTCCCATTCCATTGATGCTTGCCATGAGCTGCCTCCTCATAACAACATGGCTCACAATCATGGGAGATGTTTCTCGTCACATGTTGACTGTCCTTACTCAATACAGTAAAAGAAATGTGCTGGTGTTTAGCAAAAAGTGCATTAAGTGAACTGGTGTGTGTTGTATTGTTTTTCAGGTTTAGCAAAGAATAAACATATTCATTGAGGTAAGTGGGTGTTTTAACTATTTTGGATGGAATCATAGGCACTACATGTGAAGATGTGTGAATATAAGAATGATCAGAAGTATTTGGGTGGTATGCTGAAGTTTCAGTTCTACTTTGGTCAATAGTTTCAGGTCTATAAAGGAGTACTGGTGACAGAACTTGGTGAGGTCCTAGTTTGTTGTTAACAATAACTTGAAGTATCAGGCATATGATTCATACAAGTAGAGTCTAAATGTAGTGATGGCAAGACACAAGGAAAAGATGCATGGTTGGAAGGAATAACAAAAGGAAAAATATGTTCATTAAACTGGACATCCCTAGAAATGTGTATCCTCTTGGTGGCCAAATCTAGTACCTTGTAACATTTTGTACCAAAAGGGTATCCCAAAAAGACATGATATTAGGTTCTTGATTCAAACTTATCTTTGTGAGCTTTGAGAACAGTAGGATAACATAAGCATCCAAAGCTTTTGAGATGTGAATAGGTTGGTTTTCTTTTGTAAAGGACCTCAAAAGGACATTTGTTGTTAAGGACTATGGAGGGCAGTCTATTTATCTAGTAGGTGGATGTAAGAATTCACTCTCCTAATACTTAATAGGTAATTTGGAATGGTATAATAAGGCTCTTGCAGTCTCAAGTAACTATTTATGTTTTATTTCCACTGCACTATTTTGTTGTGGTGTATATGGACAAGTCTTTTGGTGCATAATGCCCTTTGATTGAAAAAATATGAGGGTTCATTATTAACAAACTCCAGCCCAATATCAGATCGTATGGACTTAACAGACCAATTAAACTGATTTTCTATCATGAACACAAAGGCTTTGATAACTTGAAGTGTGTTACTTTTGCTGCTTAACAGGTGTGTCCAGGTTGACCTACTAAAGTCATCAACCAAGGCTAAGAAATACTTATAGTTTTCATGTGTGGTTGCATGATATGGTCCCCACAAGTCCATATGCACCACTTTAAAAACTTCTGGGGAAATGGAAATCTCGTTTGTCTAGTCATGGGACAAATTGAACGCAAAAGGGTTGTTTAGGTGAAAAGGTTACAGGAAGGGAAGGGAAACTCTTCATTTTCACAAAAACGATACATGGCCTAATCTATTATGCCACAGATAATCAACACAATTTCCTTGAGATGAAGAATGAAATGAAGATGAACATGTATTAACAGGACAAAAAGTTACAGAACATGATAGATCTTAAATATTCTTGCCTTATGTTTTGATGATCTAACAAACTTACTGTTAAGAACAAGATAGGGAACCTGATCTACTTGGATTGCTGCATCACTTTAAATGGATCCCAGCTAAAGGTGAACTGTTACAGCTTCAGGAGCTAGGAACCAAAACAAAGACCTAATGCTCTTGTGGTTTCCTTATAGCAGTACAAAGTCATTTGGACACAGCTGGAAGTGAAGTGACTGATGGCACTGTTTCTGCCGCACTGCATTACACTGTCATCCCACTCATTCTCTAACTAAACAAATTACTCACATCATTTCAAGTGATGTGATCAAGATGTACCCAATGAGCTTTATACAAAAGACATCACTAGAAGGGTTCTGTTTCTTATTCAAGCCTCTTGCCAAAAACAGAGAAATCATCCTCACAAGCTTGAAGAACAAGGTTGAACGCCACTACGGACCAGTTCCTAAAAGATAGATTGTCGTTGTCCTAGTTGAGTTGTAACCTTGTTATTGTACTTACTATATCTCCTAAACCGCTTACCTAGAAGCATTCTGATAAGGAATCCTCTTGTAAATCCGTAAACTCGTTGAGTTTATGTTGTGACTAGATTTAGTCATAAGGAAAAGTCTTTGTAATCGTAGAGTTACAAAGTGGCTTGTGGTGATAGCATCACAAGTTAGAAAAAGCCTTTGTAACTAGGATAGTCACAATGTGGCTTGTGGTAAAGGTACCACAAGTTAGTTGAGTAAATCCTTTGCAATAGGAATTATTGTAAAGTGGCGTGTAATAGGTAAGATTACAAGTTAGTGAAGTTAAAATCCTATAGGTGTAGGTCATGATTTTTTGATCCCTTTGTATGGGATTTTTCACGTAAAAAATCCTCTGCCTCATTTACTTACTGCTTTATTAAGTACTCTCAGTAGAATGTTGTAGAGGACCAGGTACTCTACTATTTGGTGGACCCATACAAACTAACAATTAGTATCAGAGTGGGTTCCTCCTATCAGGCTAACACCTAGAAAGGATCCTTATGGCAGCTCCACTAAATTTTGAAGAAGGTCAATCCATATACCGACCCCCCAAGTTTGATGGAAAATGCTATTGGTGGTGGAAAGCTAGAATGCACGATTTCATCATGGCTGAGGACTGTGAGCTATGGGATATCATTCGCGATGGTCTTTATGTTCCAATCAAGGTACTAGATGAATTCCCATTTTCAATGGAAAAAACCAGCAAAGAATACACTGAAGCAGACAAGAAAGTGATGGAAAAGAATTTTCGTGCCAAGAAAATTCTAGTATATGGATTGGAACCTAAAGAGTACGACAGAATCTCTACCTGCAACACTGCAAAGGAAATATGGGAGGCTTTGTAAATAGCTCATGAGGGAACTACACAAGTAAAACAAGATAACCTTAATACTAGTGATAGTTCCATGATGGCAGTTGAAGGCGAGGAGATTGGATATGACTCAACATTTGCTTTGATGGCTCAATCAGATGATGATGAAGACAATGGCAACGAAGAGGTAAACTTTAGGGATGTTAAGAGAAATCTGAAATCCTATTCTCCAAAAAAACTCATGTGTTTAGCTGATGTTTTAATTAATGCCTTTTGTATTCTTGCGGAGGATAAGGATTCCTTGATCCTAGAACTAGAAGAATCTGAACATACTAGAGAAGACTTAGTGGTTGCAGTTACTGATCAAAAGAAAACCATTGAAATTCTTAGAAAAGAATGATCTGTTGGCAGAAATTGCATACCAAAGGGAAACAATAGTAAAGCCATGGACTAAGTTAAAACCTGAAAGCTCTGAAAGAGGAAAGGAGATAGTTAGTGAGGAATACCTTAGGCTTGAAGATAAGGTGAAAGCGTTGAGATGTAGGATGTGTGCTGAAATTGAGAAAAATGAGCTCCTCCAAGCCAATCTAGAAAAAGTAATGAATGATCTTGAAAAGTCTATAAAGTGGACCTGGTCCTCAGAAGCTACCACTACCTTGCTCACTAATGATAGTGAAAAAGGGAAATGAGCAGGGTTCCAAAGGGAGAAAACTCCTCACAACCCTCACAGTAAGAGTGTCACTGTATCTAATAACTGGCCTTGTACCCAATGTGGGAACACTGGGCGCTTCAAGGAAGGTGTCCAGGCCAAGAATCAATCAGTTTAGAAAGACAAAGTGGCTGCTGAAACCGTGACCACAAAAGAGGGACCAGGTTCCACTCACAAAAAACGCACATTACCTGCATGGACTAAGAGAGCCCTTATCATCCTCTTGTTTACTACAAGGGACCCAAATCACTTGTGCAGGGGACAATGAAAGGAAGTAGTCAACAATGGTTCATGGATAGTGGATGTTCGAAACACATGACTGGGAACACCACAGACTTTCTTTCACTAAAAACCCTGCAAGGAGGGAGTGTATCCTTTGGCAACGGTAAAAAGGGGTACATTCTTAGAGTAGGAAAAGTTGGAAAGTCACTCACTCATTCTACTGAAAATATGTACTATGTAAATGGACTTAAGTATAGTCTCCTGAGTGTTTCTCAAATTTGTGATAAAGGAAACAAGGTGAAATGCTTGTCCAAATTATGTACAGTCACTGACCTTGTGACAAGTGAAATAGTTCTGGTGGCCAAAAGATACAAGAACATCTATGTTGCTGATTTTGAATCTTTATAGAGTAATGATCTGAGTTTTCTGAAGGCGATTGACGATGATGCTGAACTATGGCACAAAAGACTAGGCCATGCAAGCTTTTCCCTTCTGAACAAACTAATTTAGAAGGACCTAGTCCATGGTTTGCCTATGTCACAATTCAAGATTCAAAAGTTTGTGATGCTTGTGCTAGAGGAAAACATGTAAAGTCCTCCTTTAAGTCAAAAAGAGATGTGAGCACCTCAAAGCCGCTTGAGCTCCTGCATATGGATATGTGTGGACCTATGAGGGTGCAAAGTAGAGGAGGAAAGAAATACATTTTTGTAATCGTGGGTGACTACTCTAGATTCATATGGACTCTGTTTCTCAGAACAAAAGATGAAACTATTGAAGTATTTG